AGATTACCATCCTACCCATGCTAGGTAAGGGTGCTCTCAAGCGGCTAGATGTTCTTGAACATTCGGCCATCAGATTTGCCACAAATGCTCCTTATAGGACACATCACTGCAATCTATAATCCTCTGTAAACTCGACATCTCTGTATACCCCACGCAAGACCCACTGGTTGATGCTTATTTATAAAACCCTCTTAGGCCACTCTCTCCTCTATCTGAGATATCTACTGCAACCCTGATCCTCCACATACAACAACCGTTCTGCCAGTCACATTCTGAAAAAGAAACACTCAAACTGGACAGCTGTAGCTGCTTCGCTTGATGTATTGTTGTCTCTACCTTCTTGCCCTTCGTGCTGTTTTCTGTGCCTAACAATGTTTGTACCATGTTTGTGCTGCTACCATGTTGTGCTACTGACGTTGTTTTTCTACCGTGTTGTTGTCATGTTGTGTTGCTACCATGCTGTGTTGTCATGTGTTGCTGCCATGTTGTGTTGTTGTCTTAGGTCTCTCTTTATGTAGTATTGTGGTGCCTCTTGTCATGATGTGTGTTTTGTCCTCCTTTTGCCTCTTGGTAGGCCGTCATTGTAAATAATAATTTGTTCTTAATTGACTTGCCTAGTTAAATACAATAAATAACCTTTAAAAAACATTGACTCATGCAATAACAAGACAGCTTCCTGAACACAAACCATTAACATATTGATTGGTATTTTCACACATGAGGGCAGAAATACGGTTCCCAAAGCTCCTCAAGAAGAAAACCTAGTTTAGAAAGTCTACTAAAAAGCGACTGGGGTCTCGTCCGTTTTTACAAACACAGCTTACTTCTCCGCGGTCTCACTGAAGAATACCCTAAAACTCATTCAGGAAGGAGGACCACTGGGGAGCTGTATGAAGTAACAATACATGAAGATGATGTTGTAGAAGGGAAAACCACAGCTTATCTGCTATTCTGGTCAGGATAAGGAATCCTTATAAACTAACAAAGTGTTACACAACACATTTTTGGGTTAAGGTACTTGCATAAGTAGTGTATCAGAAAGTATTTGGGGCCGAGATTAGGCATTCCCTTAGTTGACTTTTTGCACCAAATCTTGTCAACACCTCTCTCTCCCCCCTCTCTCTGAAGGCTCTCCATGAGGTTACTCTAGAGGTGGATGAGATTTCTCTGACCCTCCCGGGATCACCTTCGACAGGCCCTTCATGTTCATAGTGTAGCTCATCGACCCGACAGAAATGTAACAGCCTCAGTCTCTTATTTCACTGTTGTGAAGCTCTATCACTCATATCTCTGTTGTATTTTCTTCCCTTTGGTAATGATTAGAAGAAGAATAATACAAATTGTTATTTTCAGATCACAGAAAATCATATTTTTGCTTATTCCTATACAGTTGAAGTCAGAAGTTTACATACACCTTAGCCAAATACATTTAAACTCAGTTTTTCACAATTCCTGACATTTAATCCTAGTAAAGAATTCCCTGTCTTAGGTCAGTTAGGATCACCACTTTATTTTAAGAATGTGAAATGTCAAAATAATAGTAAAGGGATTGATTTATTTCAGCTTTTATTTCTTTCATCACATTCCCAGTGGGTCAGAAGTTTACATATACTCAATTAGTATTTGGTAGCATTGCCTTTAAATTGTTTAACTTAGGTCAAACGTTTCGGGTAGCCTTCCACAAGCTTCCCACAATAAATTGGGTGAATTTTGGCCCATTCCTCCTGACAGAGCTGGTGTAACTGAGTCAGGTTTGTAGGCCTCCTTGCTCGCACACGCTTTTTCAGTTCTGCCCACACATTTTCTATAGGATTGAGGTCAGGGCTTTGTGATGGCCACTCCAATACCTTGACTTTGTTGTCCTTAAGCCATTTTGCCACAACTTTGGAAGTATGCTTGGGGTCATTGTCCATTTGGAAGACCCATTTGCGAGCAAGCTTTAACTTCCTGACTGATGTCTTGAGATGTTGCTTCAATATATCCACATAAATGTCTTTCCTCATGATGCCATCTATTTTGTGAAGTGCACCAGTCCCTCCTGCAGCAAAGCACCCCCACAGCATGATGCTGCCACCCCCGTGCTTCACGGTTGGGATGGTGTTCTTCGGCTTGCAAGCGATCCCCTTTTTCCTCCAAACATAACAATGGTCATTTTGGCCAAACAGTTCTATTTTTGTTTCATCAGACCAGAGGACATTTCTCCAAAAAGTACGATCTTTGTCCACATGTGCAGTTGCAAACCATAGTCTGTCTTTTTTTATGGCGGTTTTTGAGCAGTGGCTTCTTCCTTGATGAGCGGCCTTTCAGGTTATGTCGATATAAGACTAGTTTTACTGTGGATATAGATACTTTTGTACCTGTTTCCTCCAGCATCTTCACAAGGTCCTTTGCTGTTGTTCTGGGATTGATTTACACTTTTCGCACCAAAGTACGTTCATCTCTAGGAGACAGAACGCGTCTCCTTCCTGAGCGGTATGACGGCTGCTTGATTTTCCCATGATGTCAAGCAAAGAGGCACTGAGTTTGAAGGTAGACCTTGAAATACATCCACAGGTACACCTCCAATTGACTCAAATGATGTCAATTAGCCTATCAGAAGCTTCTAAAGCCATGACATCATTTTCTGGAATTTTCCAAGCTGTTTAAAGGCACAGTCAACTTAGTGTATGTAAACTTCTGACCCACTGGAATTGTGATACAGTGAATTATAAGTGAAATTATCTGTCTGTAAACAATTGTTCGAAAAATAACTTGTGTCATGCACAAAGTAGATGTCCTAACCGACTTGCCAAAACTATAGTTTGTTAACAAGAAATTAGTGGAGTGGTTGAAAAACAAGTTTTAATGACTCCAACCTAAGTGTATGTAAACTTCCGACTTCAACTGTATGTACCCTGTGATATAAAATGTAGCATCTGGAAAGTGGATTTGTAGACTGTCTGTGCCTTTGAAATGGATACTGTTAAGTGTATGTTTCGACCATTAAAATTGGATTCAGAAACCACCTTGTTTGCGTTTTGTACATTTCCATAATGATGGCATGGAAGGGCTAGCCTCGTACGAACCATCCCGATCTCGCAAGCTTACATTCTGTTTCGCTACACTGATAAATAGAATGTAACAGAATGTAAGCTCACGAGATCAGGATGGTTTGTACAAGGCTATGAAAGAGCATTTGTTGAAGAAAAATTATAAGAATGTACTTCTATTCTCGTGATAATCTAGGTTCTGCTCTAGGTTTTGTTTTATTGTAATATTTTAGATAGAACACTTTAATCTAGTAATGAAAGGGTTTTTGTTATATACAGGTTAGGGCTGACTTTTACATTACATAACAATTTCACAATTAAATTGATTTACAATTAGGATGAAAGAAAACACTATACAAACTCAATCATCAGTCAATATCAGAATCAATAATTTCATTAATTGACAATCATTTTAATGACAGAGACAGCAAAGGTTTTAAGCTCATTTTATCCTTAGGCTACACAACAAGCTGGAGTTCTAGAATCAAACATTTCACAATGACACACACAGAGAGCAAAGCTTTGAGTGTGAATATCATTCTATTCTTTCATGCTGGCGTCCTGCAGATGACATTGTGATATTTCAAACTCGGAGAGATAAAATGATGAGTAGAATAGAACAAGATGCATCAAACAGCAGATCAGTCATGAGTGGCCAGCTCAATAATCTGTTCCCAGCTTTCAACAGTGACAGATCACCATCATAAGCCAATCGGTGGTTCCAATATGGAGTCTAGTTGAACAGCTACTGGTCTACAGGGGTTCTGGAATGTTACTAGCACAGAGCGGCCAGGAGAGATCTGAGAGACGACACAAGATTTGGTGTCACAAAGTCATTCTAATATACTGTAGTAATAATAATAAAACATGCCATTCTGCTGTCTGATTTTAAAAAATTGCAATTTATTTCTCATGTTAATTCCAATTCAACTGATTGTTGTCTTTATTATATCAGTTTGTGATGGTGTTAAAATATAAGAGCTCTGAGCAATCATGTGTCACTGATGAAAAGTGTTGCGAGGCATGAGTAAGATCACCTACATTTACCAACAACTTATTGTGACAAAGGAAAATCCTTTAGTGCTTTGCTGTAGAGTACTGGGTATTGAGTCATGTTGCATCATTACATGTAGGCTAGTCAGCCTGGCCAGATTAATCTCCTGTTCAGCCAGGTCAGTAAAGGGAGGCGTGTCTGGTTAATAATTTATTAAATGTGATCAGCTGATCCTCTCAGGACCATAAATTGACAGAGTTCCTGACACATTGTCTCCGGCAAAGAGGACATTGAAGGTAAGAACTGATCTTTATGTCACTGCATTTTTTAAGGTCTTGAAAATGTTCGGTTAGATCATAGTTAGTTAAGATTAGGGTTGCAAAATTCAGATAAATTCCATAGTTTTCCAAAAGTCCCAGTTGGAGGATATTCGGAATCAGGAGGGAATGAGCAGGAAATCTGGAATCCTCCAATCAGGATTTCTGGAAAAACAGGGAATTTATTGAAAGTTCCTGATATTTTGCAACCCTAGTCAAGATAATAAGTACCTAGTTATGATAGTTAGCAGTACCTAGATATGATAGGTATTACATGCTAAATCTGGGAGAGTGAGTAGGTGTTTGCAAGGTGAAATGATAATACAAGTGAATCTAAGTCTGTGCCCAGGAAATGTTCCTATGTGAGGCTATAATGAACACATACAGTACTGTATATCTTATATTTGCTGATTTTATGAACATGTACGATTTAGGGATTTCATCACCTCAGTCATTTTGAAACCATGTTTAACAAGTGACAAACCTCATGACATGGCTAAAAGAGTTAAGGAAGTCATACTGTTGTAATTTCTAGATAGGTATTAGAGTATGGGTTACACTTTACTTAAAGTATGGTAATAACACGTACCGCATAATGGTTTTTAAAATCTGTGCAGAGTAGTAATGACATTGTCCATTCTTTCTCCCCAGGTAGATAAAATGTGGGGTATATCTTATTGTGCGATAGTGGCTGTGCTGCTCTGCGTGGCCTGGGCGGCGCCCCACGACGGGGACCACGCCGGTCACACAGAAGACCACCACCATCACCTCCACCACGCCGCCGGCGAGGCCCACCCCCAGCACGGACACGGCCACGGGGACGAAGAGTCCTGCCACAAGCTGGCGCCCCACAACGCAGACTTCGCCTTCGCCCTCTACAGGAGCCTGAGCAAAGCCAACACCGAGAACATGAACATTTTCTTCTCTCCTCTGGGCATTGCCACTAGCCTGGCTATGCTGTCCCTTGGGGCTAAGGGAGACACCCACAGTCAGCTGTACTCCACTCTGGGCTACGGAACCTTCACACCGGACCAGGTGAACAAGGCCTATGAGCACCTGAACCACATGTTGGGCCACACTGGGGAGGCCATGCAGCTGGACATGGGCAATGCCTTGGCCTTGAGGGACGGCTTCAAGCCCCTGGCCAAGTTCCTGGAGGACGCTAAGCACTTCTACGCCAGCGAAGGCTTCACTGTCGACTTTAAGAACCCCGCTGAGGCTGCCGCCGAGATCAACAAGTTCATCGCCAAGAAGACCCAGGACAAGATCACGGACATGGTGAAGGATCTGGACCCTGATACGGCCATGGTGCTCATCAACTACGTCTTCTTCAGAGGTAGGAGGAGGACACTGTAGTAGGAGAAAATGGTCAGGCACTTATTGTTGGATTTAAGAACAATGATAGAATACACATCATTGATCAATTGACTGACTGACTGACTGACTGACTGACTGACTGACTGACTGACTGACTGACTAACTGATTTCCACACACGGTAAACAGAAGATGTGTCAATAAAGAATTAAAAGAAAATGTATGCAGGACAAACCAAAAACAATATAGGCTAATAACATTGTCTGTTTCTGCTTGCATGTTTACTACCCCTTAGTAACAATGTCCTCTACCTCCCTCCCCAGGGAAGTGGGATAAGCCTTTCGATGCCACGCTGACCCACAAGGCTGACTTCAAGGTGGACGAGAACACCAAGGTGCAGGTGGACATGATGAAGAGGACGGGTCGTTATCAGTTGTACCAGGACCAGGATAACTTCACCACCGTGGTCATGCTGCCTTACAAAGGCAACTCCTCAATGATGGTGGTCCTGCCCAACGACGGCAAGATGGAGCATGTGGAGGCCTTCATCAACAAGGACTACCTGAAGCACGTGCACGAGCATCTATTCAGGACGTGAGAACACCTGATTTTATACACTTTTCTAATGTAACTTTCTTTATTAATTCATGGTATACGGTCACTTTAGTACTGCAGCCTCTTTAGGAGTTAAGGAGAGTAGATTGTTTAGAACTTTTTTTATTGGACACCTTTTCAGTATAACGCAACCTATTCTTTATGTATGATTTATTTGTATCTATTCTTAACATAAGGTCAGGGTAGTTTGTTAATCAACTGACAAGACCAAGTTTGCAATGAGTATCAGATTGTAACATATAAAGAGATTCTTAATGCAGATTAAACATTTTAATGTGGCTTGCATTTGCAAGCAGCAGGATCATGCACGTTTCTTTGTGCTGATAGTATAAACTGAGTATATGAAAATGATAATGTCTCTTTCAGCAACGTGGATATCTTCATGCCAAAGTTCTCTACCTCTACCTCCTACTCCCTGGGAGACCATCTGAAGGACATGGGTGTGGTCAGTGCCTTCGGTAACACAGCTGACTTCTCTGCCATCTCTGAGGAAACCAAACTGAAGGTGTCCAAGGTGGGTTCTGATGATCAGTCCTATCCATCTCATGTCTGTCTCTTCTCTTGTCTGTCTGAGGGAATTGGGAGCAAAATAGAAGAAGAATGTCTGTCTCTGTTGGACTACTAAGGGTCTATTCCATTCTATTATATTCTATTATGTGTATAGGCCACGTAGGGGACAGTGGTGTCAAGTTCAACAAATTAACATGTTCCTGTTCCCTCCCCAGGTTACCCACAAGGCTGTGCTGAGTGTAGATGAGAAGGGGACTGAGGCGTCCGCTGTCACTACGACAGAGATCATGCCCATGTCTCTCCCAGACACCATCATGCTCAACAGGCCCTTCCTGCTCTTCATCCTGGAGGACTCTACCAAGAGCATCGTCTTCATGGGCAAGGTCACCAATCCCAGCCCCAAATGAACTACAGAGAGGGAGGGAAAGGGAGGGAGAGAGGGAAAAAGAGGAAGATTGTGATGGACATCTGAGGAGATTTAAGAAAGGTTTTTGTCTCTCATGCTTTAACAAGTAGCAAAACATATCTGTATCTGACTTTGCGGTTTGCAGTTGTGGCATTCAAGTGTCGGCCATTTTGTCTACATGTGTTTTTGTATCAACTGTATACCTTATAGCAGAGGTGTGTGTGTTTGTGTTTGCAGTTGGCTTAAAATCATACTGATGTCCATGCTGGTCTGGTGATAGTGATATACCATCGTTATGTCTCTGGAAGTTGTCTAATGCATTAAAAATAAAATGTTATGTCATAATTTTGAACAGTTTATACTAGGCTGATGTCTCAAGCATGGGTTTATCTGCATGCATTTCGACTGATATCTCATCTTGAATGTGATCATCTCAAATATATTGATTGGGTTAGATAGCCCCATGTCAGCATTGCCATTCTTCTTTGATGTAGAATTTTCCAAATTTTCCAATGGACTAGCATTTTAAATCTGTGTATTGCCAGGTAGACTGCTGTCTGTCAAGAACAGTGATCTGGATGGATCCTGAGCTAAAACGTTTTCCCAGTAGAGGATAGGGACCTGCGTAGCCTGAGGTTCATCGGCCCTAGCTGAGTCTGTGACCTTTGACCTGTAAATAGACAGTTGCTGCTGGGAAGTTTATGTAATCAATCAATACCACCTGTCCTCATTCTATCCCCTCATATGCTGACTCGTGAGAAAGACATGTGATAAACATACACACCTGACCCCATATGGTATGGTCTGTGGACTGTGTCTTCAGATAAAAAATATCTTCAAATATAGCTTTTGATTATTTCATTTTTCCTGTTTCAGGACAAAACAATAATCCAATTGTAAAGATACAGATACAAATATCTAATACCATTTGTTAAGACACATACTGTATATTGCTTCAACCACAAAATGAACACTGAACAACTTCAACACAGATGGCTGACAAATCGAAACAGAACAATGCAGTACTTCATAGAATTCACTTTCATTGATCCGTGGGTGCTCCTAGAAATCAGTGTGTGAAGAAAAGCATTATATACAGTGAATCCCTGAGACATATTTTAAGACCAACGTTCGACATACAGTAATTGTACACGCATTGCATTGGAGGGAAAAACTGATAGAAGAAGTTATGGACAATATCTCTTAGAGGGGGGTGCCCCACATCTCAATGGTGTGTCTAATCTACCCATTCTTCCCAGACCAGTTGATAACCCAAGCACCATTTTGAACCTTCAAAAAAAACCAACCAGCTTTGTTCGTCATTAGCTTGTTCAAACTCCCTCTTCTTCCCAACCCCAACCCCTTCATCTTCAAACCCCAACCCCCTCTTCTTCAAACCCCAACCCCCCCTTCTTCAAACCCCAACCCCCTCTTCTTCAAACCCCAACCCACTCTTCTTCAAACCCCAACTTCCTCTTCCTCTCATCCCCAAGAAATGTGTTAATTTACTTTTATCTGTTCAAATTCAATCTTCTTTCTTTCTTTGTCTTGTCTCTGTCCCGTTCAGAAAGCGCCTCATTGCTGCAGATTCATTTCAATTAATGTCACGTTTGCAACCATATCGCTTGAAACAATGCACATGAACTTTCAAGGTGGAATAGTCCATTATTATAAACCAGTCCGTGGGTGATTAATGATACTTGTTCCTGCTATTATGAGAAAACTTGGACTATATTAATATTGATATGAAATATACAGTATGTCTATGTATGGAAATACATTATTGTTCTATTATGAATTATTATTTGGCTGTATGGATTTATTTACTTTTTGGAGGTCTTTTTTGTCAACAATATGGCCTCATTAAAAACATGCTCCGGAACTTTGGCGACTACTAAATATTTTTTACACCTCACACTTTGGGCTGAATGTGTCAATGTGTAGTTCATACATGCATAAACTATGAGCAGAATTACTGTTTTACCTCAATTAGCCACAAACTCCCAACAGTTTTTCAACCTCAACCCCCTCTTCCTCTCAACCCCAACCCCCTCTTTTTCTCACCACCAACCCCCACTTCTTCTCACCCCAACCCCCTTTTCTTCTCACCCCCAACCCCCTCTTCTTCTCACCCCCAACACCAGTCATCTGTTTTCTGCTCCGCCGATTATCTAATATTAAATAGATCATATGGTATGATACCCACACAGTCAGGCTAGGAGATGGATTGTGTGAAGTGGTTATCTATAGCCGACAAGGTGAACACCTGTCAATGTGCCCTTGAGCAAGGCACTTAACCCCTAATTTGCTCCAGGGGCGCCGTACTACTATGGCTGATCCTGTAAAGCAACACATTTCACTGCTCTGGTTTATATATAAAGTGCATTTGGAAAGTATTCAGACCCCTTCCCTTTTTCCACATTTTGTTATGTTACTGCCTTATTTTAAAATGGATTAACCTCTTACGGAACTGACCCTTTTTTTAAATTTTCGCCTAAGATTACACACCCAAATCTAACTGCCTGTAGCTCAGCACCTGAAGCAACGATATGCATATTCTTGCTACCATTTGAAAGGAAACAATTTGAAGTTTGTGGAAATGTGAAATTAATGTAGGAGAATATAACACATTAGATCTGGTAAAAGATAATATAAACAAAAAAACATGCATTTTCTTCTTCTTATTTTTTCATCATCTTTGAAATGCAAGAGAAAGGCCACAATATAATATTGCAGTTTAGGCGCAATTTAGATTTTGGCCACTAGATGGCATCAGTGTGTGTGCAAAGTCTCAGATTGATCCAGTGAAGCATTGCAATACTGGACTATTTTGTATCAAGTCTGCCCAAATGTGCCAAATTGGTCAATTGATACATTTTCAAGTACATAACTATAGAGAACATACAAAAATGGTATGGTAATACAAAATGTAAGTTTACACACTCCCAGGAATGTCATACATGATGGATCATTAGCTTATACACAAACTTTCACACATCTAGATGGCCGGGCAGGGTGGCTGTGGAGCCAGAGACAGCAAGGGTTCAAACTGTAGAACCCAGTTCCTACATTTGAATATAAAAATGGATTTTATCAAACAAAACTATGCTACATTTTATCTCTGGGACCCTTAGGAAGACAAATCAGAGCAAGAATACTGAACGCAAGTACATTATTTACCTTCAGAGGTGAATGTATCAAACCAGTTGCTGTCGAGCTCCTGAGTGGTGCAGTGGTCTAAGGCACTGCATCGCAGTGCTAATGTCACGCTCTGGCTCGGGGACTTTGTATTTTGAGCCAGGGTGTGTTCGTTTTGTTGTGTTTTGGTTGGTTGTCTTTGGTTGTGTTTTCTTGGTTGATCGAGTGACTCCCAATCAGAGGTAACGAGTATCAGCTGTCGGCTCGTTATCTCTGATTGGGAGCCATATTTAAACTGTCTGTGTTCACCTTGTGTTTGTGGGTTTTTGTTCCTGTACAGTCATTGTCACTGTGGACTTCTCGTATCGTCATTTGTTTTGTGGTTTTCGTGTTGCACTTTAATTAAATAAAGTCATGTTCGCTCAACGCGCTGCGCTTTGGTCCACTCCCTCATTAGACGATCGTGACAGAAAAACCCACCGTAAAAGGACCAAGCAGCGTGTCCAGGAGCAAGGAGACTGGACATGGGAGGAAGCGCCGGGTAAGGAGATAGAGAGGCTGGCGATGGCCCAGGTGGGCAAATCGTGGTCCTGGGAGGACATGCTCGGGGGCAAGGGACCTTGGGGAAGGATCAAGGCCCTGGCGAGAGAGGAGCAACGGCGTCAGCAGGGCCATCGTCGGATGGAAGAGAGGAACCCCAAAAATTTTTTTTGGGGGGGGCACATGGCTTGGGCGGCTGGGCAGCAGGAGGCTGCCACAGGGCAATTTGGAGAGGAGGCCACCGGGTTTTGGGGGCCAGAAGGCAGGTTGGCGAGGCCGGGATGGAGAGCGGAACCAACTTCCCGTACTCAGGCATGGCAGCATGGGACGGGGCAGGTTCCGCGGTATGCGGAGCAGCGTACGGTGCCACGAGTGGTCCGGCACAGTCCTGTACGTCCTGTGCGAGCACCCCGCACGTGTCGTGCGAAGGGGGGTATGCAGCCAGGACGGAGTGTGCCGGCTCAACGCTCGTGGTCTCCTATGCCTCTCCGCGGTCCCGGATATCCTGCTCCAGTATCACGTGCTGTCATGTCGGTACGGGTACACAGCCCTGTACGTCCTGTGCGGATGCCTCACACAGAGTGTGTGAAGGTAGGCATTCAGCCGGGACGTATTGTGGCCGCTCTTCATTCCAGGTCTCCTATCCGTCTCCACAGTCCGGTGAGGCCTGTTCCTGCTCCACGCACAAAACCTACGGTGTGCGTCGCCAGCCCAGCCCGGCCTGTTCCTGCTCAACGCACAAAGCCTACGGTGTGCGTCGCCAGCCCAGCCCGGCCTGTTCCTGCTCCACGCACAAAACCTACGGTGTGCGTCGCCAGCCCAGCCCGGCCTGTTCCTGCTCAACGCACAAAGCCTACGGTGTGCGTCGCCAGTCCAGCCCGGCCTGTTCCTGCTCAACGCACAAAGCCTACGGTGTGCGTCGCCAGCCCAGCCCGGCCTGTTCCTGCTCCACGCACAAAACCTACGGTGTGCGTCGCCAGCCCAGCCCGGCCTGTTCCTGCTACTCGCACCAGGCCTATGGTGTGCGTCGCCAGTCCAGCCCGGCCTGTTCCTGCTCAACGCACGAAGCCTACGGTGTGCGTCGCCAGCCCAGCCCGGCCTGTTCCTGCTCCACGCACAAGGCCTACGGTGTGCGTCGCCAGCCCAGCCCGGCCTGTTCCTGCTCCACGCACGAAGCCTACGGTGTGCGTCGCCAGCCCAGCCCGGCCTGTTCCTGCTCCACGCACAAGGCCTACGGTGTGCGTCGCCAGCCCAGCCCGGCCTGTTCCTGCTCCACGCACAGAGCCTACGGTGTGCGTCGCCAGCCCAGCCGGGCCTGTTCCT